TATTTTTAGACCCGAAACAGGTTGCCGTGTGAGAGCGCGCAGTCACTGTGCGGCGCGCAGTCACACACACTCCCAGAGCAATGAAAAATACGTAACAGCAAGATTTGAAAACTTGTTTAGCTTCAAAGGGCTTTTCTTAAAAATGTTGAATACTATCTGAACCGAAACCAAAATGCATATACAAAAGTTTAGCTGGAAATAAAACTCTGCATCTTCTGGTGAGCTCTGTCCAGGCACAAAATCCAAAAACTCCCTTTTTCTATATGTAATTTAAACCGTGATCACTGAAATATTTGTTGCTTCTTTGCTTTTGTCATTTATCAAGCCTGGAATTGGTTAATTACAAAACTTTTTGTGACAAAAGGCCTCCTTAACACGTTTCCCTTTTTATTGCTTTTTAATTTTACACCATGGTTTCACTTATGGATCCTACACTTTTATGGCCAACACTTTACGGATCCTATTCACTTTAATGGCCAACACTTTTCACTTATGGATCCTTCACTCACTTTATGGCCAACACTTTTCACTTATGGATCCTATTCACTTTAATGGCCAACACTTTTCACTTTATGGATCCTATTCACTTTAATGGCCAACACTTTTCACTTTATGGATCCTATTCACTTTAATGGCCAACACTTTTCACTTTATGGATCCTATTCACTTTAATGGCCAACTCTTATCAGGTAGCGAACCTGTTTTTAATCTTATCTATAGATATTAGACATTTGGCAGACCTCTAAACAGACCATAATTTAGTTCACTCAATTAGCAGACTTTGAATAAACAGGTGTCCGCTCTTACCTTTTGTCGAACAGGGCCCAGGTACCGTCAAAAGTCCACCAAATATCAGCTTTTCCACGTCCAACCGGGGTCTCCAAATCATGAACCAGCGCTCACTAGTACCGGGAACTAGCTTCTATCGGCAGAGACCAATCACCCGTCAGAAATCCCTGGAATATGGACATGGAAAAACAAATTTAAACGCTTTGTCAGTCCAAAAAAGAGGACACAAAAAAATATAGTGAGAGAGCAAAAAAGCCCCGGAATCGTCACCTCTCCAGCTTGGTAGATAGCACCCAATTCCAGATGCTCTCAGCCCTCTCACGCTGAAAAAAACTTTCTCACAACAGCCGAGGCAGAGTCGCATTCAGCGCCGCATTCTTCCACCACCTGATAGGAATCAGACTCAAGCAAATTGGGATCTTTGTACGACAAAGCCTCCTGGCTGGTTTATTCACAAAATGGTCGTTAATTTTCAGGCAGAACAAAAGACACAGATACATTATATATGGAAATCTACGTCATCATAGAAAAGGCCAAACCTTCGGCACAAATAGCCTAAACAACGAAAGTCTCTGTGGTCCTTGAGACCTCCACAAGGCCAGGTTATTAATACTATTTTGTCTTGCATTTGTCCACCTGTGCAGTACATAGGTCACTGTTTACCACGTCATTTAAGTGAATCACTGATCTGCATTTGTAATCGGCAGCTACGGCTTGTGTACATGGTTCCCCTCCAGTGATCCACCGCGGTAAAGTGGCCCGCATCTTTCAGCTCTATGAACGAGCAGCCCGCATCGGGGAAAAGATGGTGCGCATTTTGTTGACAACTTACGGTAACAGCGGAACATCCTTTCGGAGTCACCGTTTCTTATCAAACAGAAAGCGCGCTGGGGTCTGGGAGACATGTTTTTGTGATTAAAACCTTATAGAGATGCCACCCAGTACACGTAGCACCAGCCCCCTACGATTCCTCCTGCAGGTGGTGAGTCCGCAGGAGAATGGCCCCTCTATGGCATAGCGGCTATTGTGTACAATTGTTTACATATATAGGGTACACAATTTTGTCCGATAGTGCAATTTCCAACAATTGTAACTGTTTACTGTAAAAAGGTGTGCGACTAATTTCACTGGATTCATGACCTCATTATTGTCCTCTACCACTGTGCCAAAGACCAGGAACTTTTACTGTGGACATTTTGAGAAATATTGAGTTAAAGTACCCAATTCCGTCTAAAATACCTCAAAAATGGTCCACTGTCATCATGGACAGAATTTCTAGTTGCAGCCAGGGGCCGGAGGGGTCCGGTTCAGAGACCACAGGATTTCATCTGTGCTGTTTGCCGAAGATGTTGTCCTGTTGGCTCCAAGGAACCAAGACCTGCAACATGCACTGTGACGGTTGCAGCCGAGTGTGAAGCGGCTGGGATGAGAATCAGCACCTCCAAATCCGAGGCCATGATGCCTGACCGGAAAAAGGTGCCTTGCCCTCTCCAGGTGGGTAAGTAAGTAAGTAAGTAATGTTTATTTATTTAGCGCATTTTACAGACCAAGGTCACCCAAAGCGCTTTACAATGTCGAGAGTTCAGATATTGTCCAATCATTCCACACACGGTGATGACTGAAGCGAGTCGCCAAACACACTGGTGCATCAGCCCCCAATCAACACCATCCATTCACTCTCTCATTTACATTAATACCTATTGTGCATGCTTTTAGTGGTAGGGGAAACCGGAGCACCCGGAGGAAACCTATGCAGACACGGGGAGAACATGCAAACTCCACTCAGAAAGGCCCTGTTCTGACCGGGATTCAAACCCAGGACCTTCTTGCTGAGAAGCGTGAATGCTATCCACTCAGCCACCGTTCCGCCATAGTGGAGAGGTCCTTCCTCAAATGGAGGAGTTCAAGTGTCCTGGGGTCTTGTTCACGAGTGAGGGAAGGATGGAGCGTGAGATTGACAGGTGGATTGGTGCAGCGTGCGCAGTGATGCGGCCACTTTTGATTTACAGGTCAATTCTCGTTCCCTCCATCACCTCTGGTCATGAGCTTTGGGTAATGACCGAAAGAACGAGATTGCAGACTTTCTCCCGCGATTCGATTATCGATATGCATTTGCCAAGTATCAATATCGATTTTTAACTTTTTTTTTTTTTTTTTAATTGGTATCAATACTTAATATATGGCTACATTACGCATCTCCATTCCATTTATCATGAAATAGAGTATTTTTTATTTTATTTATGCCATATTGGCATATTGTATATTTCTGATCAATAATCGTCATATCGTGATAAAATCGTTATCGTAATATCGTTATCGTGAGCTTTGTATCGTGTATCGTATCGTATCGTGAGGTACCCTTAGGTTCCCACCCCTATTGCAGATACAAGCGGTGGAAAAGAGTGGCTGGGCGCTCCCTTAAGGTGCTTGCACACCGGACTCAACTTCGACTTCAAAAGCGTCAGGTTTGCATTAAAAATTGATGATGAATAAAAAGCTTTAAAAGATGAGAGCATTACGCGCGTCACTTGAAGCTTTTAACGCGCAGATGCCCTAGTCCTGGGCGAGTGACATGCGGAAGTACTGCTGAAAGTGAAACTCCGTACGCAGCTCCTGTAGTAAATGGTGAAACTCAGCAAACACTGCAACCTCTCAAGTCTGTGGTGAACCCAGAACACTTTTTGTAGAAACCCTACGACAACGTTGTTTGGCAAATAAAGGCTCGCTGCTCTCTGGAAATCCACGGTCTGGACTACCGGCAACAGAGAAGCTCCTCCCACCCGGCGTCAGGCACGTCAAGCGTGTCAGGAGCTTCAAGCACCAAGGGGCGTTCACACCGGACCCAGCGTCTAACATCGCGCGTCAAAAGAGTTTTGAAGCTTTTGGTCTGAAAGCACCTTTAGAGATAGGTTGAGGAGCTCACAGCAGTGCCGCCGCTTCTGCACGTCAAGAGGAACCAGCTGATGTGGCTCGGGCATCTGTTCCTCCTGGACGCCTCCCTGGGGAGGTGTTCTGGGCACGTCCCACCGGAAGGAGGCCCCGGGGAAGAGCCAGGACACGCTGGAGGGTCTCTCAGCTGGCCTGAGAACGCCTTGGGTTCCCCGTGGGACGAGCTGGAGGAAGTGTATGTGGATAGGGAAGTCTCTGCCTATACTGCTGCCCCCGCTACCTGGCAACAGATGAACCGCAATTTTGTGTATTTTTTACCAAAGGGGGAACTTAAACTCAATATTTCTCAAAATGTCTACAGTAAAAGTTTCTGGTCTTTGGCACAGTGGTAGAGGACAATAGTGAGGTCATGAATCCAGTGTAATTAGTCGCACACCTTTGTACAGTAAAAAGTTACAGTAGATCAAAAATGGGAATTTCGCACATTATTTGGGGTATTTTGGACCAAAATTGGTACTTTAACTCAATATTTGTCAAAATGTCCACAGTAAAAGTTTCTGGTCTTTGGGACAGTGGTAGAGGACAATATTGAGGTCATGAATCCAGTGTAATTAGTCGCACACCTTTTTACAGTAATAAGTTACAGTAGATCAGAAGTGACATGTTTTGACCCTTTTTGAGGTATTTTGGACGAAATTGGGTGCTTTAACTAAATATTTCTCAGAATTTCCACAGTAAAAGTTTCTGGTCTTTGGCACAGTGTAAGCCAGTGTAATTATTCGCACACCTTTTTACAGTTAAAAGTTACAGTGGATCAAAAATGGGAATTTTCACACATTTTTTTGAGTACTTTGACTCAATTGTACTCAACATTTCCACAGTAAGGTTTGTGGTTGTAGGCACAGCGGTTGAAGGCAGTAGTGAGGTCATGAACCCAGTGAAATAAGCCACACAAGTCTTTATTGTAAAAATGTACAGTTGCTGAAAATTGCACTATTTGACCAAATTAAATGTCGAACATTTTAAGTTTTTACATGTTGTCCAAATAAGGGTTTATTCACAAACGAGTCTCCATAGGGTGCGCTTTCTGTTCGAGGAGAAAAGGTGACTCCGAAAGGCTGTTCTGCGATTACCATAAGTAGTGTAATCGCTGAACAGCGCACTGTTTTTTTATAGATGCGGGCCGTTTTACTTTGGAGGTGAAAGATGCGGCCCACTTTACCGCGGTATTGAACCAAACCTTAAAAAACACCATTACCCATAAGCTCTTGGGGGTGCGTAGTGACGTCCTATACAACGTGCTGCTCGCAGTGTAGGTAAACATGGCGGCTTTCGCTCCTCTGAGAGGGTTGACTAGATGGGGCTCTTCCATCTGCAGAAGCCAGCGTTTCATACTGAACAGGACTGGTGCCAACAGAGGAATAGCTTCAAGTATAGACCGTAAGTGCCACAACGAACCCCGGGGAGACTGTGAGACTGCTCCGTGCTCTTTCGATCCACAGATATATAACTTATCATAGCATGTAACTTGATTCTAGTTTCATGATTATAGCCATAGATCTAATGATCAAGAACTATGGAACACTGTAAAGTAAGTTCTTGTAGTCAATGCTAGTCCACTCTTAAATGTCATCGTGAAGTATTGTGTAAAAAGACAGTCCATGGTCAAAGATGTGTTACAGCATCAGTCTGTTATTGGTCAGTCTGTGTCCTCCAGTCCTGGACCACAGAGAGCTGCACGCCCCTGAGCACTGTTAACACGGCTCCCACTGAACTTTCTATGTTTTCACAATGCAATTACACCATTTTAGCCATATTAATATTCATAGAAATATAATTACAAAAGGTGGAGTACTGAAATTCAGTAGATGGATGACTATTAAAATTAAAAAAAGAAACATGTAGAGAAAAGTTTGTGGGAAGCCAGTTCGGGGCATAGAAAGTGTTCTGGATTCAGGAAAATCCAGAACACAATAGAAAATTACATTGTACAGATATTTGTTCATTTAAATGAGTGGATCATGAAAATGATAAAAAATAATAGGTTTGTAAATTGTGCCCAACTTTAGAATCTCCCCTGCCCTGTCTGATGTCCTCATGTTATTGAACAAACGTTCCCATTATTTTTCACAATCTGTGGCTGTAAACTCTCGTATAAACTAACAACAATAACTTGCAGCTAAAGACTTTTGCTTGTTGCCATGGAAATGTTAGTAATTTGCTTGAAATGGTCTTCAGTATGGAGTAAGTGGAGTAAATTGCAAATAATTTTACTTAAAAACAACACGTCTCCATGTATTTGATCTATAACATAGCCCCGCGAAGTTGCTTCTCTCTCCGATGGATGGACTATCTAATTTGGACAACATTTAGATGGACATTAGATGGACATTTTTTGCACACAAATTATACTTTCGGACTTAGTAATAGTAAATAGTTTGGACACCCCTTATGTGTGGTTGTGTGTGTCCATGAGATTCTGACTAATTCATTTTTCCTCACAGCTTCACATGGACTCTCAGACGAACAAAAGGAGTTTCAAAAGGTTGCTTTTGACTTTGCAGCCAATGAAATGGCACCACAAATGGCAGAATGGGACCAAAAGGTATTCATTTGGTTATTATTCAGCTCTTGTGGTGATTAGATAATACAAACACACACGCATAAAGAAACGCTTTTTTTTCTTGTTTTAGGAAATCTTTCCTGTGGAGACTATGAGAAAAGCTGCCCAGCTGGGCTTTGGGGGCATTTATGTTCAACCAGATGTTGGGGGATCTGGCCTGTCCCGACTCGACACATCTGTTATCTTTGAGGCTTTGTCAACAGGATGTGTCAGCACTACAGCATACATCAGTATCCACAAGTACCAATCTATGATTCACTTTCAAAATGTTTTTGATTCTTGTCACAATTATCCAAAATAACCTTTCTCCATTATAGTATGTGTGCATGGATGATCGACACGTTTGGCAACACTGAACAAAGAGAGAAGTTTTGTCCTGACCTTTGTGCAATGGATAAATTTGCTTCATATTGTCTGACTGAACCAGGTTGGAAGATCAGTGCTAAAGCAGAGTTTAAAACCTGAAAGCTCCATGACTTTTGTTTTTGTTTTACAGGTAGTGGCAGTGATGCTGCATCCCTCCTGACAACTGCCCGTAATAATGGAGACCATTACATAATGAATGGCTCAAAGGTTAAAGCTGTTCTTTTAACACCTTTTTATTCTCAGCACATTGTGATGTTTGTTTTATAGCATACTTTTACTCTTTGTAGGCTTTCATCAGCGGAGGAGGAGATACCGATGTTTATGTTGTGATGTGCAGGACAGGAGGCAAAGGTCCCAAAGGCATTTCATGTCTAGTGGTGGAAAAAGGGACGCCTGGTCTCAGCTTTGGTAAAAAGGAACGCAAGGTAAAAATTGGACACAGTATATCCTTTTCCATGTCTTGTGTGCTGAGAGCCACCAGATGGCGCCAGTATCAACTATATGGTGAGTTGCTTTGTAGGTGGGCTGGAATTCGCAGCCAACCAGAGCAGTAATATTTGAGGACTGTGCAGTTCCTGTGTCCAACCTGCTCGGTGAAGAAGGACAAGGATTTAATATCGCTATGAAAGGCTTGAATGGAGGCAGGATCAATATAGGTGTGGGAACTTTTAGTACATATTATTATCTCCTGTTTAATCAATAAAGGTCACAATTAAAGTCTTCAACAAACATTTTCCTCAGCGTCTTGTTCCCTTGGAGCTGCACATGCATCGTTGTTGTTGGCAAGAGAGCACCTTTCAGTTCGTAAACAGTTTGGAGAAACACTGTCCAACAACCAGGTGCAGTACATTTTGTACATTACAGAAACTTGTTGATTTGTACAAATAATAATACAAATACATTATTGTAAAAAATACTAATTGTGGGAATTGGTATAGTATCTTCAGTTCCAACTGGCAGAAATGGCCACGAAACTCATAGCATCTCGACTAATGGTGCGAGAGGCTGCCAAAGCTCTCCAAGAGGGACGATCTGATGCCGTTTCTCTCTGCTCCATGGCAAAACTCTTTGCTACAGATGAATGCTTTTCTGTGAGTGACAATTCTACTTTATTAGTTTGAGTCGGAAGATCTCAGACACATGAATAATTGTTTTATACGACTGTATTCCTTTTTATTACTATTGATTTTAGTCCTCTTTTCCTGTTTCATCAAAAAGTGCAGTGGCCCTTTAACAATTTATTGTGTCCAATGTTAAATGTACTTTAGTCATAGATGCTTAAATGTCTGAGGAAACTCGATGTTCACAGATCTGCAACCAGGCCCTTCAGATGTATGGTGGATACGGTTACCTTAAGGATTACCCCGTTCAGCAGTTTGTCCGAGACATTAGAGTACATCAGATTCTGGAAGGTGAGTTGTACAGCAGGTATTATCACACTGGCAATATCTATTCTGAACAAGCACAGCAACCAAAAACACCAGTTTTATAGCCATTTGAATACACTTCACATGTGGTACAATTAGGGCTGGGCGATAAAACGATAACGATATATATTGCGATAGACACGTGTTTGATATCAATAGAAAACGGGGTCGATAGAACTTTCGATAGTTTAACTTCACATAGGAAGTAAAGCCGAGTCAGAAGCGCGCGGCATTCTGGGGGATGTAGGCAGAGGCTTCTCGACCTATCACAGCCGACTGCAAACCGCAAAACTTTCTGGGAATGCAAAAACAACAACCGCACCATGCGGAGCGTCCATGGATCATGGATCTATTACAATAGCCATGGATCTAAAGATTGTGTTTCAGTGCCGTGTCAATGGTTAAACACGTCCATGCGAGGAACAGCCTGTGCGGCGCGGGAGAGGCAGAGACTCGATGCATTCGGCAAAAGCAAGAGATTAACTTTCCGGAGCCGCCACGGGGACACAAGACACTCGAAAACAGCCAAAACAGGAGCTAAACTAGGACTAAACCAGGACTAAACCAGGACTAAAGTGGGGGAGACTGCTTGTGAACATTTGGCTCCAGCCTCATTCCCCCGTGACTGTAAACAAGGCTGCTAACATGTGTTAGCCGACACGACAAATGTATTTATTTACGTTTTAGAAAATAAATAAAAAACAATCAATATATATATTGTTATTGACTGATATGAATTACTTATATTGTGATATAGTTTTCAGCCATATCGCCCAGCCCTAGGTACAATACTTACATAAAGGCAGAGCAACTGTGTCTGGGTAAGTGAAGCTTTTGCGTAAAAGTTTGGCCTGTTGCTGCTCTTTACTTTTAGAGTTACTTTTACGGTTAGGAAAGGGTTTGTCCATGTAACAAATATGTTAAAAGTGTGAATGATATAATGCCATTCCCACTGCTACTGGCTAGACCTACATGCATTTTGATCTCAAAAGTTGGGAGATTAACTCTTTTATTTTGACACATTACTTTTATTTGTTATGGTGAAAACTGTGAATAATTGTAACTTTGTTTTATAGGTACAAATGAAGTCATGAGAATGATTATTTCAAGAAATTTGTTATCAGAGTCTTGATAGTGTTTTTTCATTCAAATGTGTACTTGGTATGTCCTGTATGTTTGCCCTCAACTCAAGTTACAACTACAGCCATTTGTAAACACTAAGGTTTTCAGGCCTCTTTCAGACTGCAGAGGTATTCAGAGCCAACTGTGATTATTCATTATCTGCAAATGTGGGAGAAACACCTGGCCAACGCAAAGAGATCTTATCCATGGGTTTGACCAGAACCGGACTGAACGTAGCCTGGCTCTGCCAGACCCATGTAGTTCCGCCGAGCTCCACCACATGGGTCTGGCAGAGCCAGGCTAGTCTGAACGAGGACTAGTCAAGGATTAGACCAGGAGTCAAAAAGGTCTGATTTTTTTTTTTTTTATGAAATATGTTGCTACAATTGTCCATTCATTTATTTCACATATTCCAACAAAAACACTGAATGGATATAGTTTTCATTGATAAGTCAGTTTTGGCATTGAATCTGCTGCGCTTTGCAAGAAACAGGCAAAAAAAAATCATGAAGTTATTAATTATTACCTTTTTTATTATGACTTTGAACTGGCTGCAGCAGCGCAGTGAGCGGATTGGCGCTACTTTAGACTATTCCCACTAATGCTCAAGATTCTTTAGTGATTTTCTTCTGCTGTATGAATGGGGCCAAACACACTTTCCTTTTTTAAAGATTTAGATTGAGTGTAATGCTCTTCAAGTGTCCTTTACAATGTTATTATGATGTTACTGTGTGTTACTGAGGGTTTTAAGCTGTTTTGTCTTTGGTGTTTGTTGGTCTATAGGTTATTTTAGCACTCCAAATATTTTTCAAGAACATTACTCATTGTCATTGTTTCCTAGAGTGTAAGATAATTCAGAGCTCTTAATAATGATAACACAAACATGTATACACAGCCTTAAAAAATAAAGTTTATTTAAAAAAATTTAACAATTGTGTCAGTGCTTCGTTTACTGTATTCTCCCCCACATTATGCAATAGGAATAATTCATTTTTCAGCCGACCTGCAAACGATTGCTAGCTAAATGTATAAAACATGTCATTGTTGCTTACAGTTATCAGGTCACATCATAGTAAGCACCTGCAACATAATAACTTTAATCCACAAGTTTGTTTTGATTCAAAGCCATTTATCATCTCATTAACCAAAAACTCTTTTCATTCAAAGAGTTTTTACTGAGTTGTGTTTAGTGCAGAAAGCCTGAGAATAGTTGAGTAAAGGTAAACCTAAAATCATCAACAATCTACTAAAATCCACTTTGTAAAACTGCCAGACATTTTAACCTGTAAAGTCATTGTTACAAGGTTCGTTTCCATGTCTGTATTCTTCATAATAAAAGTTGCTAGAGTTTGAAAAATAATCCTCTGGAATATAATTCAGAATAGAAAATGAAGCTAAAAGTAACAAGATGAGCCACGCCATGTACAAAAGCATTCACTTTGAAGTCCTCTATAGTCGCTCAAAAGGTGCTTTCCAAAGGCATTCTTCCTCCAGTTTTAGAAAAGTACTTCAGCGTCAGTCTTGCCTTAAACCAGAGACCCTGCGTGGCTTTGAGCAGGTACCATCACCGCTACGGCGCCCATACGCGTCAAGGTGGAGGAGCTCATCTGAGGAGACATGCTGAGTGGGGGTGCCACTTGAGGTTGTGCGCCTTCTGGCCTGCAGGGGGAGCCATTCCCAGGGCTGCGGATCATGTATGGGGGTGCACCGTTTGCAGTGGGGGGTGGCTTGGGTTTACGCGGGGTAGTGCCTCCAATGTTGTAACCTGGAAGTCCCTGTAAAGTATTGGCCTCTCCAGGCCTGAGCTGGTAGGCGTTGATGACAGAGCTGCTGTCTGAAGCTGGCATTGGAGAATAGGGGTAGTGAAAGTTTGGGGGGTCTCGTGGCCGAGGACTGGTGGCTATAGACGAAAGTGTGCCATTTTTAGACATGATGTCAGATCCTGTGTTGCTTTTAGCCCAAGAAACGCGCTTTGGTGCCTGAGCATCTTCCCTGTGGAAGAAGAAATCCCAGTATGAGAACACACAGATATACAAGTACAGCTGGTATCAATGGATCCTTGTTATTTATGAGAAAAATAAGAAAATATTGTCTATTAATATTGTCTTTATTTTTTAAAGCTGGGACTTGATTATTTAATTACAAAGCTCATAACTAGATTTTTAATCACACATAAATATTTGACCTGAGAAGTATTTTTTTTTTTTCACAAGGATTTTTAGTATACCATGAGTAATGACTGAGATATCAATCTTTGTCCAACCAACTCCATCAGACCAGTGCAAACTTTTGCCATTAATTGTAACAATTGCATATTTAGAAATATTATTCATTTTGCAGGCTAAAGTGGTCTTCAGTTGAGTGAAATCCAATGAGCCATGTTGTTGGTTATTTTTTCAGAAGTGGACTTCTTGGTGTGAAAAATGTGTTAGCCCTTATAGAGAATTTTACATGTTCATTAGAGTTGTGATAGACAGATGTAAGTCCCGCCTCTTGCACATACAACACTCAACACTGGTCATTTTAGCCAGCCCTAAAGCCAATCACACAGGGGCAGATCAAATGAGTTTGCCACGTTTTGAACATTTGTTTTAATATATCATACTAACTAGCCACACTCACATCGCATTTTTCCCTGTAAAACATTCCTAATGACTGCTGTATGTTCACACCTTGTTTGTTTGTTTATTTCATTCATTTCAGGCATTTCACATTAGGCACAAGTCACCTCTTGTCACTCATAGTTTCCAACAAAAATAAATACAATATTGCTAACATGCATAAGAGGGAAAAAAATAAACCTTGCCCTAACTATTACTTAGTGTCTATCTGTGTATAATCTCCTCTCAGTTTAGTTACAGCTGCTCTGTGAGGGCTTCAGAGCTATGGTCTGTGTGTATTGGTCTCTAAACAGCATCATGAAGGCCAAGGAGCACACCAGAGCGAACAAGGACAACACTGATCACAGATGTAGCTACAATTCATGGCTGCGTGATATGCAAATCTAAGACACTGCTTGGAAAAAATACCTCCCCTAATGTTTTTGAATACATTTGTACTCAAAAGGGGAAAATCTCAAAATCCCTCGTTGGAAAAACCAAATAGTAATGATTTGGACTTCAAAGATAATAAATAACACTTCCTACTTGATCTCATTGGCTGTCTCCTCTTCAGAGTCCCCTCTTCTCCTCAGGATAAATATGAGAAACAGAACCATGGCCACCAGTCCCACGATGGAGCCCAGAGTGGCAGCTGCGATCATGCCTGCATTTGAGGCTTGGAAAAACAAAACGACTTAAAACAAATGAACTTGAAATAGAAAGGTTATAATAAATTAAAATACATACAGGTGACGACCTCCAGGTTTATGGAGCAGGTGTCTGATCCTGCCGTGTTGCTGGCCCGGCAGACGTACTTCCCTGACATGCTTTTGGTGAGGTTACTGAGGCGGAGGGTGCCCTGTCTCTCGTCTGCAAGTAAGTACAGCCATTTATTTGTTACAATTCATGAATTATACCAAATATTGCTGGAGATGGTGTCATCTGACGGCCATAATCAAAACCTGGTATTCTCCACTCAGTACATATGTGCCATCCTCAGGTCAAATTAACCCACCACAGTGATAAAAAAATTACCCTTTTAATATGAGTAAAGCACAAGTGTTACTGTAGCCTCCAAGATGCATAGAACCTGAGCTGAAAAGATCTATAGATATACAGTATTTTAAAACATAAGTCGTGATATTTGGTATGTTTTTATTTTTCACTTTTGTTCATTAATTTATGGTTTTAGCAAAACTCTAGCTAGTGTCTGTTGGGATTGGTCTTGGATTGAATGTGCAATGTTTGAAAATGAGTTCTTTCATGATCTTTATCCACAGAAAATAACATTTCAATAATCCATATTGCTGTAAGAGGGATGATTAGAATTAATAAGTGTGTATCATTCAAGACATTTAATTCTATTTTGTAAGATTCATAAAATATCAAAACCTCATTAGGATGTGTTCTGACATCACAATATTCAAAAAGTCTTGTTTATCATTATGGTGGAGGGTAGCTGAAACAACTTTGGTGGTAACTATGGTAACTGTCAAAAGTGAGACTTCTTTAGTTTGACGCTAATTTCTCTCATTCCTGGGTTTGATGCGTCACAGTGTCAAAGTCCCACCCTTCTTTGTCCGTACATAGCAACATTAGAACATTAAAAAACATGTGCATGATGTGGCCCATCAGAAAGGACTTTCAGACAGAAGAATGCTATGGCAGATTTGAGAATCTAATATCAAAACCGATAATCTTGTAAAACACAAAAAATATCTTATTTTCCACAGAGATGTGTTGACACCTGCCCTGTTCTAAAGCATCCTTCACTGATCTGTTACCAGATATAGAATATACTGTATCACAAAATAAATGTATACATAGAATAAAATGTATTATGAAATAGTTAACATTATTAGTTAACAATCTACATTTTCTTTCATGCAGGTACAACCACTTTTACTTGGAAAAAACTCAATGCACTCTTTCCACGACTGCTTTTCTTTAATCTTGTCTCACTTCAAAGGTCATGACACGGATTATGCGTTTGACCATTACTGTCGTCTGACCAAACACAATCAATTCCTCTTTGCACTTCTTAAATGCATTTGTCGCAACACAGATTGTGCAGAAATAAACAAGCTTTATGAGAGACTTATCGCCACAAATCCTCTGCAGTCCAATTTCAGATATCACAGAGCAATATGATTTCATCGCCTGTCGTTTTGCTTTCACAGAGACGGGGAAATAACTGGTGTATATTTGGATAATCTCTGGGATGAAGTGATATGGTCAGTCTTCTGGTTCACTCTGAGGATGATTCACTGATACAATCAGCAATAGTTAAAACACTGAGGAATTATAAACAACCAGCAGCTGCTTTTACCCGGAACTCTGTGATTGACAATGTTTGATTTGTACCATCTGCTGTAGTGGTGCCAATCACTTTAGACTAGGGCTGTAACTAATGATTATTTCATTAAGCAATTATAAGTGCAGTATAACACACACTATACTACACTTGATTATGTTTAAGACACAAATATGAGAATTTAGTTATCCTCAAGCTTTGGGTATCATTTGTCATTTTTATATAATTGCTGTTTTGTGTGAGCATCAAAACATGTCCCATATAGAAAGTCAAGCCTTTGGGCAGCAAACTGTTTTTTTTTGTTTTTTGTTAACAAAATAGAAGGTGAAGCACTGAAACTTTACACAAGATAGAGGACTACTAAAACCACTGACAAATAAATACAAGAAAAAAAGCAATGAATATATTCCTTTAGTTCATTGATTCACTGAACCATCCCTACCTTACTAAAGCCCTTCCTGCTGTAGAGGACATGTGTGTTTTAAATGGTCAATAGATGATCAAAATAGTTAGCTCCCTGCCCAGAGAACACATTTCAGTATGAATATATTCAAACCATTATGAAGCAGCTGTCTTACAATGACTTGCTAAAGTTTGGGTCGGCCTGCACCTGCATTCTGATATGGGTTAATGCGCAGGATTGAAACCCAGCTGTGAAAAACAAACCCAGTTTTGAGGATTAGCCACATGTGCAGAGACTGAGAGCTGGAGTGAGTTCAAGCCTCAGAGCCGGAGGGGGCTGACGCGTTTAGGTGCTGAGGCGGAGCATTACTCATGATGCTTCCATTAATGCAAGGTCAATGAGTGGCATTCATCAAAGCCATGAGACCTCACAGTGCCGCATGTATACCAGCTCCAGCTCATCACACGCACATACAGCTCCATATGTACACATGGGGATAACAGCTCATATCTAAATATATGCTGTATCATTAGAATATTACGTTAGAACCCTATAGTCAACAGTGTTAGTGCATTCAAATATAACAAAAGCATCATTAGAATTCCAGTATTATAATATAATAAAAGTATGCAATAAAATTGAACCAATTTTTCTAGTTTGTCTTTTCAATCGACCAAACTGTTATTATGACTAGAACAGAAAACTTGCAAAATCATTTTAAGTTGCTAAGACTTTTAATCCTGACAAGGAACAGCTGCCCAGATGAACATCTGAGCGGTTATGGGTTTACAATGGGTCTACAAATAGAACACAAATGAATGGACATTGGGTGGAAAACAGAGTAAAAAGATAAAACTCAACCTTGCAACAGACTAAATAATGTAACAAATCATGTTATTTATCTCTTCATCCTTCAAAACACAGGAGAAAGCTACATTGTGTCAGAACCTTGACTTTTTATTTATATATGTGTACACCTGTGTTAAATGTGGTTGTCTATGAGTAAATGTTGGTTAAAACTGTTCTATCAGAGCTGATAATATTAATATATAAGGTGTGAGGCTGCATTAAATGTCTGGGTTGAGTTTTCCTTTTCAATTCTTTACTACAGCTCCAATGGTACTCCACTAGTTCACGGTGACTATCAGGGGTCTACAGTACAGCAGAGATATTAGTGAAAGCCCTTACCCATGAACCCCAGGACAAACAAGGGCTGCGGGCATGATCTCCATTCTGATGTTTTTGTGAGCACCAACCTCCTGGTACTTAACACACTCTCTCATACTTTAACCCTGTGTTCCTCCCAGGGTACATGTGAGTTCCAGCATTGATTAGCTGTTTTGACTCCCAAAAGACCATATCCACGTCTCGGCGGTGGGACATTTCATATTTCTTGTGATCTTAATGTTTATTTTAATGCCTATCTGATTTGATTAGTATTTTTTTTATGTTTTTGTAGATTTGAATGAGCGTCTTTCCTACCACAAGGCCACACTAAACTCCTCACAACCAATCTATCCGTAAAGCATTATATCATAATTAATCTTTAGACAAAATCATGAAAAGTCATAGTGCATTAAAAATAGTACAATATACTTCAGTTGTTGCCACAGCTAAACAGTTTTTTAACCGGGATTAGTATAGCTTAAAACCGTTAGCTTCCAACTCATTCACCTTCTACTATTTCTGCTGCATGCAATGAAACCAGTGGCCTATAGGTACTAAAAACTTCTGTCTTAATTATAGGCTCTACCCCAATAAAAAATACGGTAATTTTTTTAAAATATATTAATAATGCGTCAAATGTTCCGCTCGCTGTTTCTCCAGACCTAGTATCTAAACTTTCTATAGTTTTGCTGGATCATGGGCCCCATTGTAATTTTTTCCTAAGAATAACAGATTTGAAAATGTGATTTGTTAATTTAATTTGTTATACACACTGTTTTACACACATCATTCAATAATGTGATGTAAAATTGAAAACATGACCTGTCCCTTTTAACCCAGGGTTTCCTAACATTTTTGTAATTGGACCACTGTGTTTAACAGACTAGTCCAGGGGCCGACCACCACGGATTGATAAACTGGTTTTGAAGCGTTGTGGTATTTCTGCACAGGCCGAGGCAAAAAGAATGTAAAACAACCAAGAGCCAATCGATAGTCTTAGTTTAGTCATTAGTAAAACGTGACATATACAATGATTAACAGAATCGTTACCGATCACCAGCTGCAGCTCTGAGACCGACGGCACCAATCAGGATATGAGGGAACATTAAACAGACCAGAGTAAACAACTACATTAACTGCTCTAGATATGACATAAATGAAGTCAGATTGATGTGTCGCTCAAGGATCCTATCACGCTTCCTCACGTGAAAAAACTCTGTAATATAAAAACAATCTCAGTCCAGGAGTATTGTTCTTAGCCAAGTTATGGTTCAAAGACATGTAGAAGCCCGTCTCCATCATCAGCTGACCTTGCTGCCGACCATATTATAGGTGCTGGATTTGATTTCAGAGTTGAGAATTGCGTTAGTAACTCACTCTTAAAACTATTTGATGTTTCTGTATTTTTTGTGTCTTATCTGTTGATTCTTCGATCTGTGTCTGTTATTTCACGGTTTTTGCTAAGTACCTCTGAGATAACCTAAGGTTGTGATTTAGGGCTATACCAAGGAATCATTGAATTGGAATTGAGTTTCTATGATATGTTGTGTTAGAGATGGCAGAGGGCCCTAATCTGTGAAAAGGCATTAATAAAACACATACTAACTACAAATACTTCTTTAAAGGATAACAGTAGTTCTGATGTGAATTTCCTAATTAGTTTTTCAGCCCCTAAATCTTGTCATTGATTTCCTTTCAATGTCCCGCCATCCACTGTTTACCAATCAGGAAGTCCGTGATCCGTGTTGTCTGAACTCAGACATGCGTCAAGCTTAATTCAGGGGTAAAGCACCATGGTGGAGCAGAACTAAAAAAGCTTCTTGTTATGGTTTTCAAATGATTAACGACAAAACAAGGAATATAATCGGATTACTCTTGTCTATTCAGATTATTTATGGTTCCCAGTGGATTTGTCCTGCAAATCTGGCAAACCTGAGTCAGGGAGAGTGGGAGAGGCTGCAGTTCCACTTATGCCAGATTTTTACATACTGCTCCTTTAACTGTTGTTTCTCTGATCTGTGTTGACGTTTCAACAGTTTTGTTAAGTTTTCTGAGATAACTACTGTTGTGATTCAGGCTTATCCAGAAAACATTGACCCGCAGTGTCTATGTTTTGTGTGTTAGCGAGGCAGAGGGCCAGGAACATCATGCGCAGAGGGCCGCATTTGGCTCGTGGGCATCAGTTTGGACATTTTAACCGCACATCCTCCCACCTAGTCCAGTTCCAATTCCGCATCACACTCTCTCACAGGTCCCAAAACATTCATAATATTTGCTCATTGCGCCTTCGACGGGGACGCGGAAGTGTCTTCGACCGCCACTAGCCCAGGACCAGCCCAGCCCAAGCCCGGCCGGCCCTGTCACTGCGCCAGGGTTCCAGCGCAGCCTGTGCTCACTGACTCTACATTGTTGCACACCGCGTCTGCAAACTTTCGTCAAGCGTCTGGCCCACTTGGAGAGTGTGTCATTCGTGGCGGTGAACCCCCCAGCGTGGTCTCTCACGAACCCCCCTCGGAGCTGCTGGATTCGGCCGCGCAGAAGGATGAGACGCAGGTAAAAGAGAGGCCAAAGCGTGACCTTAAGATGCAAAAAAACTCGACGCGATTAGAGCTGGCTCCGAGCCGAGTTGTCAAGATCACCCGTCCACAATGCAGCCTCTTTGCGTCATGGTGGAAATGTCTGGTTGTTGGCCACTTCAGCTGACAAGTTTGATTTATTTTACTTTATGTGACTCGCGGTTTTCATTTCAAACGCCACGGTATATCTTTGCGACGGTCATTAAATCTAACTTCTGAGACATATTGCTTTAATTTATGACAGCCAAAGTTTGCTTGATGAGGCCGATATGGAAACGTCAGTGGAGCCTTTGGTCCGAGCCAATAAACGATAAATCTTTTTTTTATCACAAGATATGTGGGTTGTGTGTTATTGGCCATACTTGCATGTGAAAAAAGCCAGTCCCCGTCAGATCTCTGAAGCTGTGCAGGGGCAGGGCGTGGGTACTGCTGTGATGGGAGACCTCTGGGAACAGCAGGTTGGCCACAGTCTTATCCTGAGGCAAGACACTTCCCCACATTAGAATGAGTCTGGTGTGTGGGTTGTGAATGGTTGGTGGTGGTGGGGCAGGGGTGATGGCACATACTGGTTGCCTCGCTTCTGTCCGTGTGCCAGGGCAGCTGCGGCTCCAGTTTGTAGTTCTCCACCCTGTTTGGAGTGAATGCAATCATGACGATGTGAAGCGTCTTTGAGTGTCCAAAAAATGGGGCACTCTTATAAAAACCAATACATTATTTTTTTTAATTTTATTATTGACTGTCTATAGTAATGTCTCAACAAAAATAAACATGTGCTTTCTCTGGTTTTTCACATGTTTTTTTTAAAATATAAAAATATATTTGTTTTCACTGGTTATGCACTAAATGTATGTTGAGTGGTGGATTTGCTCATGCGTCTCAGAATAGAAGGTGGTGGGTTCGATCTCCGTTCGGCCTGAGGCTTTCGTTGTGGAGTTTGCATGCTTCTCCTTGTGTCTGAGTGGGTTTCCTCAGTGACTCAGGGTTCCCAACCCCCTAAACATGCACTGTGGGTAAAAATTCCTCCAGCTGCGATAGATAATCCACCAAGATGGAAATGTCCTCACAGCATAAGGTTCATGGGTGTGATTCACCTCCAGACCTTTCTGTGTGGATTTTGCATGCTCTCCCCGTGTCTGGTAGGTTTTCTCCAGGTGCTCCGGGTTACGCATACCACTAAAAACATGTACAATAGAAAAAACGTAACAAGAGGGTCACATGTGTGGAGAGAAAGAAGATAATTCTGAGCAAATTTTAAGTATCTATACTAGACAGTTTTTTTTTTGTTCTTTTCACCCATTGTGCAAAACAGTAATGTAATTAATAATAATAGTATAAATGGTAGACATAGAAACAAACATGAATAGAAGTGGCCTGGGTTAGCTTTAGTTCACAGATACAGATAGAGAAGAGAAAAATGATAAATCACTCACTTACGTGCTTTCAAAGTAATATTTGTGAATACATTTTTTGAGTTTTTCTTAAATTCTGCGGCCGGAACGTTCTTGGGCATGAGTCTAGAACGTGAGTTTAGGTTTCCGGCAGATAAAGTTGTTATCTCTCGTGACACTATACCGGTCGTGTCTGTTGCCTCTGATCACGATCGAATGATGGCGGCTCCGACGCTGTGTGACTGTTGTGTTTTTTGCAGTGCTTTGTTGTTGCCACCACTCATCCGTCTGAATCATCGGGGCCCAGTTTAGACGGCCAATATTTTCATTCACTCACGTCCACGATCGTAAGTAAACTCCCGCTGACCTGTTTGATGATGATCAGTCTGGGCATCTTTAGTCCAGATCCTCGTCCCAGGTCTTGCTCGAGTACAGAAAGAGACACTGATGTAGGGTGGATTTTTGTATTGCTGTTGCAGCCAATATGTGAAATGTTTAAGATTAAGAATGAGATCCTTTTCTCTTTGCCAAAGAGAGTACCATCAAACACGGGGAAAAGACTTAAACAAAACTTAAAGTCAATTTTACTTTTTACTTAGATTAAAGAGATTCTTTATTCGTTCCACAGTGTGGAACTATTCAGTGTTGCATAACAAGTTATGCACAGGTAGAAAGAGGAGCAACCTGTACAATTTAAGTGAACAATAGATGCTAATAATTAAACGCATCAATTATAAGTATAAATCTCTATCTTGAAATAATATATGGTAAAAAAAAATGTGTGTGTCTTCTCTCTCTGTCTGTGTTCAATCTGTTTCTATGTCCTCTTCGGTTATCTCTGTCTATTTCTGTCTCTCTCTCTGTCATTTTCTCTCTCTCTCTCTCTCTCTCTCTCTTTGGGCGGCACGGTGGCTGAGTGGATCGCACTCTGGCCTCGCAGCAAGAAGGTCCTGGGTCGAATCCCGGGTCGGCCCAGGGATCTTTATGAGTGGGTTTGCAGTTCTTCCAACGTTCTGCGTTGGTTTCCGCCGGGTACTCCGATTTCCACCTACCCACTAAAAATATGCTACAAGAGATCTGGCTGCGCCTCCTGTACTGTCCGCTCCCATCTCTGTGTGGAGTGAGAGGTCAAACACGCTTTGTGGATCTGCGTCTGTGAAGGCGCTATATAATTAAGATTACTTACTTACTTTCTGCTTATCTGTCTCTCTCTCTGTCTCTCTCTGTCTCTCTCTCCCTGTCTGTCTCTCTCTCTCTCTCTGTGTGTCTGTCTCTATCTCTCTCTCTGTCTCTCTTTTGTCTGTCTCTCTCTCATCTCTCTTTCTGTTGTCTCTCTGTGTCTCCTTTCTCTCTCTGTGTGTCTCTCCTTCATGTGGGATCATTCTTAATACTCATGTGCTGTATAAATTATTTTAGATTGTACTGAGTCTATTGGGGGAAGATGTCCATATACTGTATGTATTTAATGTCCACTAAATGTCATAGACCCTCTCCATCAGCAAGGAACAGACGGGTGTAGATCCAGGACCATTTGTCATTTAAGAATTCACCAAAACACAATCCCGGGACGAAACAAGAAAACACACAGCAGCGACCGAAACAACCTTTAACTTTTTTTATGTCATTTAGTTCGGACCACCTGAGTATAAATATAAAGTTTGTATATGGAGTGTTTAAACATGTTTGATAAATGTTTGCTTTAGTTGGTTACTCGCTGTGGAGCAGAAGCATCGAGGAATTGACGTTGGGGTGTCGTGGCCTCGGGCTCGTCTCTGTGTGAGATTCTTTTAGGGTCAGGAGGTTGACGGGTTGATTGCCTGATAGCACTCTTGCTCAGAGTCTTATTTCTGAGCAGGCGACTTGTCTTCTGCAGTGGTTCCTTCTCTCCGTGTGTCATTGCTGGTTTGCGATTTAATTAAATGTATGTAATTAGGAAATTTGAGATAGATCTTTTACGTATGATCTATCTAAGCAAAGCTTCACTACAGACGATGCTGTGTCCCTGGGCATGTGTGATGTGTAATGATAATACCGGAGCCACAAATGAGTTTAGAGAGCCACATTCTTTTGAGGGGGGGGGGGGGTCTGATCTTAGCTTGGGTCGGGGCACCAATTGAAAATAAGGTGCTGGTCCAAAGTATTTTCCTTATAAATATATAATCAGGACACGGTATTTTGGCAAATATAAAACAACTTTTATTTTGTTTGTATTTCCCTTTTTGGTACATTTTACAATACAATATCTGAATAATACAGAGATTGAGAGAAATGTTTAGCAAATGTCATTGTGCTAGATGTGGTGGCTCTACTCTCCACCAGGCTTCGTTTGTGGCAATGGAGATGCTAAAGATATATTACAAAAATGCTAAAGCTAGGTTAAATGCTAAATACTAAACTCCAATCGTTTCCTCTGCAACGTGCACAAATCCAGACTTTAAGTACGAAATGAGTATGATTGGTTTTTGGTTAAGACAGGCGAGGATTGGAACCGAAACTGGCCAAGGTAACGATACTTAATCATGGGACATTTTGATTATGGCAGTTTGACCATGCCTGATTTAGAGAGTGTTTTCTTATGTGTCGTTTGGGTAGTGGTTTCTTCTGGCACCCCTCTGCTGCTCTCTGTTAGTCCACTGTTATGCTCCAATAGTAGTTCCGCGTTAGTTCGGCGTTCTCTAATACCGTTCTCACAGACATTCTTCTTTACTCTGCTAAATGTTAGAGCCTATTTTACGTGCTTCTTTAATATGCAAAAGTTAAAGCTTGGGAATCTACGTATGCACGAACCACTTTCGCGTTTTAGTTTTAACGGCACTTGCTTCCGGTGCGCGGGGATCGTCTTGAGTTTCCCTGAAGTTCAGCAGGTTAACACGAGTTTCACTAAATATGCTCAAAACAGGAAATTATAATGTTTTGATATCTGGGCATTTTTTGGGAACAAGCAGTGCTCTTTGATTGTGCTGTTCATTTGATTTTATAAAGTTAACTAATCTCTCTAAGTGGCCCAGTCAAAGCTTTTCCTCAGAGAGAAAGCACTTCGACACTTTTGGGTCAGACTCAGCTGAATGTATCAAATCTAATTTACCTAAAAAACAGTCACTTCAACTCACCACTATGTCGTAGCGATTAGCACAGACAGCGAAAGTATACGAGCTGATTCTTTGTTTAAAAGAATTGATGTCATGCCTCCCTGTGCATATAGTCAATATACTATGCTAATGTTACTGATTCCACCATGCTCTTGTTGGCTCGGCCTCTACACAAACACCGTCTCAGTCTATCAGATGCTTTTTTTTTTGATGAAGGCGGGGACCTTTGTTCTCTGCAGTGGGCCTTCTTCTCGTTTTGTCTATTGCATGGTTGGGGATTTAATGAAATGTTATGTAATTATGAAATGTAGTTAGCCTTTGACCTGCTGTGACCTGGGTGTTGTGTGATTGTGTTAATGACATGTTGTATAGCAGGATGTGTTTATGGAATTCATGAAGCCAGACCGAGCTGCTGTGATGTGAGTTGGGTGGGGTGGGATTAGCACTCTTGACTCACGCCACAGCGGGGTCCTGTGTATGTTGGGGACTACATTTTAGAATCTAGTCTCAAATAAAGCACAGATTGCAGCTGACATCGTAGGCAGACAAACGGCAGCGTGTGGAGAGAGACGTCAAAAGGGAAGTGGAAAAGGAGCAGAATAACGAGACGGGACACTACTAAATACTGAAGCTTCGAAAGTTTTAATTCAGTTTTGTCATGTTTACAACCATTAAAATACAGATTTTATTTAGATTTTTTGAGCAGAAGCTTCAACACCACAGTAGATAGAGGGCCTGGCGAAGTATTCGGCCCCTGAACACTTCAACATTTCGCCACATTTCAGGCTTCAAACCTAAAAATTTTATATCTTTAGGTTGAGCCTGATAAATGTGGCGAAATGTTGAAGGTTCAGGGGGTCCGCCGAATTACTTTCGCAAGGCACTCTATCTTACTTGTGTGTGAACTTCTGCGTCTAAAAAAATCCATAATAATTTCTGTTATGTTAATGGTTGGTAAACATGACAAAAGCTTGTAATAACTACTTGCGAGAGATTCTGTATTTAGTTTGTGTCCGTCTCGTTATTCTGCTCCTTTTCCACTTCTTTGACGCTCTCTCTCCACACGCTGCCGTTTGTCTGCCTACGATTCGTGTCAGCTGCTCAATCTGTGCTTTTGAGTTGAGACGAGATCTAAAACCCGCCCCCCAGGCCAAATACACAGGACCCGCTAGTGGCGTGAGTTCAAGGGTGCTATCCACCAGACAACATCAAAGCAACTCGGTTGGCTTTTCATGAATCCATAAACCATCCTGCGTTACAACTGTAATTACACATCACCACTTCACCCAGGGCACAGCAGGCAAAGGTCTAGACTACATTTCATAATTACAAACTTTTCATTTAATCCCAATCCATCATATGACAAGACGGAGAGAAGGACCACTGTCTGAGACACGTCGACTTCTCAAAAAATAAGCATCTGAGAGACTGTCGATACGGTGTTGTGTGTATGACCGAGCTAACAGAGAGCAGGAATCTGTAACTTTAGAATAGTATATTTGGCTATATGCACAGGGAGGCATGACATCATTTTCATTTTAACAACGAAACAGCTCGTTTACTTCCTGTATGTGCTATCGCTACGAACATTGTGGTGAGTTGATGTGACGTTTTTTAGTAATTAGATTGATACTTTCAGCTGAGACTGACCCAATGTTTCGAAGTGCTTTCTCTCTGAGGAAAAAAGCTTTGACTGTGGCCACTTGAGAGATTAGTTTAACTTTATAAAATCACAATGACAGCACAAATCAAAGAGCACTGCTGTGTCCAAAAATGACCAGTATCAAAACAGTATAAATTCCTGTTTGAGCATTAATTTAGGTACACTCGTTGTAAATGATGAACTTCAGGGGAAACTCAATACGATCCCCGCGCACCGGAAGTCAATGCCGTTAAAACTTAACGCGGAGGAAAGTGGATTCGTGCATACTGTAGATCCCATAGCTTTAACTTTTGCATTGTAAAGAAGCAAGTATAATAGCTCTAAACTTTGCAGCAGTAAAGAAGATGTCTGAGAGAACGGTATTAGAGACGCGCGAATACTAAACAGCGGGAACTAATATTGCGAGCAAGCTAACAGTGGAGCTAACAGAGAGCAGAAGAGGCGGGTGCCAGAAGAACACTACCCTAACGACACATAAGGAAATCACTCTCTAAAGCCGGCCTGTCAAATGCCTTATCAAATGTCCATGATTATGTATCGTTTTCCTTGGCCAGTTTCGGTTCAATCCTGCTGGTTCCTTACCAAACCATCATACTAATTTCGTACTTAAGTCTGGATTGCTCGTTGGCAGATTGGAATAAC